GGGCTTTTGTTGAGGAAAGATTTGGTGGTGGATCTACGGTCAATGTTTGCCCATCATATAGATGTGAACATACAAGGACCTATGCAAGGAGAGCTCTGGAGATTCACTGTGCTATATGGCTGGCCGGAGGCTCAAAACAAATACAAAACATTCCAACTCCTCGAAATGCCGCGGGATGACTCAAGGGGGACTTGGGTGGTCGGGGCCCGGAGGTGATTGGATTGAAATTTATTTTAATTCAGAAAAGAGAGGGGGTGTTACTTGCTAGGAACCAAAGGATGATGGAAGCCTTTATTTTACTTGGGATATGAGGATTATGATTTTACTTGGGGGAATAGAAGAGCAGGGGGAGCTGATAGAGGAGAGGCTGGACAGGTTTGTTGCAAATAGTGAGTGGACAATCATGTTCCTAGAGGCAAAGGTGATTCACTTGAACGAATATTTGTCCGACAATCTAAAGTTATGGGGGGGACGAAAATGGTAGGAAAAAGAGGAAAAGATTTTTCAGACGAAGCATCAGAGGTAGTGTAAGACAAGGAGGCCGCAGCAACCTTAGATGATTTTGATGCAAGCAACGATCTGTCTAATGGTGGGAAGGACAGAACATCAAAGGCAGTGGAAGACGAGGAAGTTGCAGCAGTCGTGTAAGGTGCTGATTTTTCTCCAGGTTGGCTTATGTTGGATCCTCTAACTCTCCCCATGTTAGAAGCTATGAGCATTAGACGAAAACAACTTGAATGATTTCAGATCAAAATAGAACGTGTAATAACCAAGTCGAGAGAGCATAATCAAATACTCCGTAGATAAGACTGAAATTTTAGTGTGAATACACAAGAGGACAATACATAATTCAAATTTTTAGTGTGAATAATAAATCCTAGGAAAGAAATCAAATAGCTTTGATGCCCATGTTTATATCACATATGGATATAAGAAAAATATTGGATACAAGGGGGTGAAGATTGAGGAAGCTGATGAGTGCTTGCTACGGATTCAAATTTTTAGTGTGAATAATAAATCCTAGGAAAGAAATCAAATAGCTTTGATGCCCATGTTTATATCACATATGGATATAAGAAAAATATTGGATACAAGGGGGTGAAGATTGAGGAAGCTGATGAGTGCTTGCTACGGATCCAAATAACATAGAAATTAGGGGGGGGTCAAAAGACTCAAAACTCACCATGGCGGGGGGGATGCTTGTATCTAAGCGAAACCTCCCGGAAAGAGAAAGGCCGAGGTCTCTCTTAGGCTATGTGGTGGACGACATATTAAATGAGTGTAATAACTTGTGGTGTTGTGTTTTTATGCATATTAGAACATGTGGGAACAAAGTAGTCCATAGTTTTGTGAATTCACATACTTTTGGTTTAGAATCTAGAGTTTTGCTAAAGGAAGTTCCTAAGAAGTAAGGTTGTTCATCGGTCCAAGACCGGACCAAACCGGACCAAACCAAAGACTGAAGTGAATAAAATCATGGACCGAAGAACGGACCTAAATCTATTCGGGTTTGGACCAGACTGGAGCGGACAAAAATACTTAAGACAAAACGGTCCAGACCTATTGGACCGAATAAATATATACTCTTTGTCCCACTATGTTAGTCCAGTTTGACTTTTTTGAATCAAACAAGATGGATTTTGAGCTTCAATTAAACAAAAATGGTAATGTACATTAGTATAAAAATGATTTTATTAGATAAATCTTGTTGAGAAATTTAAAATTTTATTTTATTGTACTAATATTTAACACAAATTAATAGAATTTAAAGTTCAAAGTTTGTGTAGTTTGACTCAAAAAAAAGTTAAACTGGACAAAAACACTTAGACACAAGTAATATATTTTTTTATCATTTTTATCAATCAAATATATTTTAGGCTTTTTATTCTGTACCTTGCAAAAAGGAAAAAAATAAAAAATAGACAACCTAAAAATAGATACACAACATGAACTGCTTCTATGTAGAATCAAAAATACTAATTTGAAACATTTTTTTAGTTTTTTTAAATTACTTCATAAAAAATATTTTTAATTAAATGTATTAAAGAATCTATTACAACAGAGCATTAAAAGTGTAGTACGGTACTTATAAAGTAGAGTTTTAGTACTTAGGTCTTTTAGGTGCAATAGGGTTATTAGGTCCATTCAGTCCAATCGGTCTGGACCTAAATCATTTTGGGTTTGGACTGGACTGGACTGAAGACTTTTAACATTTCCTGGGCCACAACCACAAGCTTGGGTTCCTTGACATGGTATCAGAGCCTTGTTGACTAAGAGGTCACGGGTTCGAAACTCAGCGTCACCCTGTTTTAAAAAATTAAGGTTTCACGTGCAAGACTTGAAAAAAAATTACCCCTGCAAGTGAGAGAGCGTGTTAGAATATAAGAAACATTTCCTGGACCACAACCACAAGTCTTGAGCTTTTGGTTGAGTTGGTTCCTTGACAAATCCCAAACACCTAAATTTTTTGGACCAAAGACCGACCAAAAATCCATTTGGTCCGGGTTCGACTTGAACCTAACGGTCCAACAAGATCAGTTTTTTTGGTCTCGACCTACTAAAGAGTCGTTGCAGCTGGCTAAGGGTGATCTATGTTAACTTGCTTCTCATTTATGAGGATTGAGTATTAAAGTTATTTTACTAATAAAAAAAGTAATGGTACCAAACTATTTGTCATGTTTCTAAATATGCTTTTTTCATCCTAAACCTAACGAGAACCGATATCATGTGGGTCAGTACCATGTCACAAAAGTTTAAATAGAATTGTCCCAAGATAGGAGTAAAACATCAAAATAGAAATGTCATTATTTTTATCTCTTAAATAAGAGTTTGGCAGTGTAATGGAAGAGTGTGGTAGACTGTTGACCATTTGTCAATGATGGTGGTGGAGGAGCTCCAGTGGCAGTCAGAAGTGGATGAGTGAAATAGCTCTTATTTAGGTCGCAAAAGGAGTGATGCTCATATTTTAATGTTTTTATTATCTTTTGATCCTATTTAGAGAGTTCTCCCAAGTTTAAATTTGATTATCAGGAACGCAATCTAGTTCTAAACATGGGTGGCCCGGAGGGTGTGCAAAGTGGCCAACCGCACAAGGCCCCTAAAAATTTAATGCCCCGTATTTTTAAATTTGTTAATAATTTCAAAGCAAAAGTATTTTTAAAAAATAAAATAGGGCCCAAAATGTAAACAGACGGGACATTTTAGAAGTCAGTGTCCGAATGGTAAAAAGGAAGTGAATACTACAGAAAGCTGCTCAAACAATAGTGATGATGTGCTAATCTGTAGCATAGAGAGTAGTATAGATTCCTGGGTGATGGATTCTGGTACATCTGTTCATGCCACACACAGCATGAAGATGATGAAGAATCTGAAGATTGGGGACTTTGGTAAGGTACGACTTGGTAACGATGAAATTCTGGATGTTACGGGAATCGACCCAGCGTCGATTCCCATGAAATTATTCCCCTCTTTTATCATTTTCTAAGTTGGGGAAAAATTTCATGGGAATCGA